TTGATTTGTGATTTGTAAAGCCAGTTATGTACCAGTTATGTTTTCATGGTACACAAGATGTGTACAAAATGAGCGGTAAAAAATATTCTTAATTACTTATCCTTTTGAATCTCACCTTTATTTGAAGTATAATGATTGAAAGAAAAAAATATTTCACAATTATTGGCTCCCCTTGAAATTATTAAGAGTGAAATCTCAGTGAAGTATATTCCTATTTATATTTTACGTTTTTCGCAATTAGGAACACTTAAATGGTCAGCCATGACTTCCTCTGTCACTAGGGAATACATATGAGCAGAAACACAGGCCAAATTCCCTCAGTCATCCATCACTATGAGAAAGATCAGAGAATACAGCGGTGATGTGCGACAAAAAGTTGTTGAGCTGCACAAATTAGGAAATGGCAACAAGAAAATAGCTTAACAGTTAAAAGGCCCATTTACACTATCAGAGCAATAATTAAAAAGCTTAAAACAACTGGAGATGTTAAGAATCTGCCCAGAAGAGGACATATGTCTGTAATAACCCCATGTACAGTGAGGAGGATGGTTCGAGTGGACAAAAATCTTCAAGGATCAAAGAATTGCAGACATTAGTTAGGTCTTGGGGTCACATCTCCTCCCAAACTACAATCAAACACCACCTATATAACCACAAGTTGTTTGGACCTGGTCTTTGATAATTTATTTGGATACATGGTATCATATACTTTATGAAGTACCAGCAGAAATTAAATCAAAACCTGACTGACTCAGCCAGGGAGTATAAACTAGGCCATATTTTGGATCTTCTAGCAGGACAATGATCCAAAGCACGCCTCAAAATCAACACAAAATGGTTCACTAATCACAGTTTTGCCATGGCCACCCCAGTCCCCTGCCCTTAACCCCATAGAAAACCTGTGGGATGAGCTGAAGAGGAGAGTCCACAGTGTGAGAGTCCATAGGCTCTAGAGAAGTTCTGTATGGAGGAATGGTCTCAGATCCTTGCCACGTGTTTTTCAGTTTCATTAAGCATTATAAGAGAAGACTCAGAGGTTTGCAAAGGGAGGCTGCACAAAATAATCAATAAAGGAGTACCAGCGATTGTGGCACACACAGATTTGAAAATAATGTTTATTTCCTGATAAGATTTAGGTCTTTTTTAATCATTGTACTTCAAAAAAGGTTAGATTTATGTTTATATTTTGAATGAAAGATCAAAAGGGTAAGCGATAACGAATGTTTTTTTCTGCCTATTTTGCTCAGGTTTACCAAGGGTGCCAATATTTGTGGATGACACTGTATGTATTTTATATATTCATGGTGGAAAGGTACATGAAGGATGTTGTAAAGCAAAATAGAAACTTTTTTTGTAGTTGCCATTATTTTACCATGATCAACGTTACATATAAAACCTCAGAAGACAGATGTAGGTTCAATTGTCGTTTTGGATAGTAAACAGCAAATAAAGATTCATAGCAGTCCATGGTTTGAGAAATTTGAGTTACTCAGTTACTTGGATCACTCAGATTGAAGTATGCATACATAATACACATCAAATAATGGGTGAATTTTAAAAAGGCTATAAAAAACTTTGAGTATAAAATTATGAGTCTTTTTTTTTAATTCTGTGTCAGCAAACATATATTGTTTAAGAAATAAGAGGAGGAAAAAGCAAAACAGTTGGTTAAAATGAATTAATTAAATGGCATGATGTCATTGGCTGCCATCTAGTCAGCTACATCTTGTTATGCTGTTTAAAAAGTGATTGCTGTTATTTACAGGATCTCTATAATTTTTTATGACAGAATCTTTTTAGGAGAGATGCAGTTGTTTGTTGTTCTAGAGCTACTGACAATAACTATGATAAATTCAGAAAGCATGACAATAATTTGTCACAGAAAACGCCAACATATCATTTTGTCCACCCCTATTTCTTAGTTTTGTAGGCCCAGTCAGACAGGAACCAGAAGATTGATTAGTCAAAGGATCACTTCTAGAGGCACATACAACCAGCAGTAGTTGTAATCTGTTGTTTGGAGTAGTTCCTGAGTGTTACAGGATTGCCTTGCTGCAGTGAGAGCAGCCAAGGGATCAGTAAGGACTAAGTGAATTAGCATTTAAATCACATCCAACCTGAACTGTGCAAAATGAGATTGAGCTAGCTGAGCTCTGGCATGAAGAAAGGAGTATGAGAAAGAAGGTCAAAGGAAAGTGGAATAGGGAGGGAAATGGTTAGATGAGAAGGGTTTGGGGCACCTGTTGCAACTGTGTCGAAGCCCTACAGCATCTGCACACACATTCGCCTTGGTCCTATGCCAGTATATGAAGAGACAGTACTGATTCTACTGGCCCTAAGGTACAGGAGTGCTTTCTAGATATGGTATTGGATTTACAATGTTGTAATTTTTCATCATATTCTGAATTTCCTGCAGCTTAGATGAGTAATTGAAATATATTTGGGTAAATCTGTCGTAAAGCCAAATCACATTGTCACAGGTTTCTCCTCTCACGCCATCCAAATGTGATTATCCTGTCAAATCCCTTGTTCCAAATTCATCTTGTAGGACAAATTCTACTGATTCATGTGTGAGAGATTATTTCATCACACAGCACATGGCAATGCTGGATGTACTGCACGTTTTCTGAGGCCCTAGCCTGCCAGAGGCCCACTGACATGATGTTAAATTCCTCACCACTGTCAGAGTAATGGGTATATGTAGAAGGAATATATGTAATTAACATTTATGTCAGGCTTACTTTTTAAGTCTTTTTTTTGTTATTCAGAGTTTTAGTTTTACATCCCATGTCCCCCTGTGGTGTTTTCCAATTTTACAAATGGGCTTTTAGGCAGTACTTATTTTCTGATCTGTCAACATGTCATAGCCACTTAAGATTTAACTATATTTAATGAAAAACTGTGGCTGTGTTTGTGACATGTTTAAAGTGCTGAGCAGGTCCAGTTGACTTTGAGTTTGGATCAAGATGGCAAGAGGAAAAGATTCAAGTGACTTTGAACAAGCGTTCATTATTGGGGCACTGATTGCAGGAGCTTCAGACTGCTCCGCTGGCTCGTGTTTCAGTAGACAGTGAAGCTGCATTTAGATCTATAGGAAACACATCAGGACAGCTGTTCCTCGAGTGACTGGGAATGTCAATGCAGGAAGTCCACAACTAAATAGAGAGGGATATTATGGTAGGTCTGCAGTGCCTAAACCCCTTATTACAAAGATAAATGCACATTTAAGAGTTCAGTGGTGCAAAACTATAGTTACTGGTCTACAGATGTGGGGGAAAAAAGTAATACAGGCAGATGAATCATCCTCCGCCATTTTCTCCACAAGCAGGCGAGTGCATGTACAGCACACACCAACAGCATGGTACACCTCTGAATGCTTGACCCCTACTATGAGGTGATCTGGTGGCTGTGTTATGGTTTGGGTCCACTTGTGGGGACAGACTCACTGCAAATCAATATGTAATTATACTGACTAAACACCTTTATCCCATGATAAAACATTTGTATTCGATCAATATAGTAGTCTCTTTCAGGATGACAATGCCCCATCCACAGGGCAATTGGACAGACCATCATTAAAACACCAGTTTAGAAGATATGCTTTGGAACAATCTTGTTCCCTTCCTTCAGTACAGTTCTAGAGACTTATACAGTCTATTATAAGGTGCATTGAAGCTGTTCTGACCCTACAAAACAATTTGTGCTGTGTATATATATATACATATTATATAAAATAGGGGTCCGGCTCCCTCTGCATTAAAAGCCAGGTTAGGTCAGGAGTCACAGCCCAAATGATAAGAAGAGCCATTTTGTCCTTTCAACAAAAATCAAACCAGCATGGGAGCAGTCGTTGCGAAACAGGGCTTTCGCGCTATGTTGCACACGTCCCGTCTCAAAGATACTTCACTGACACAGCGATCCCCCCGTCTCTACAATGAGACCAAAACGAAGTTATAAAATCACTAAAGAAAACGGGTAGAATAGCTGTAACATATGCTGTGTGGACATCCACTGCCACTGGATCTTATTTCACCGTAATTGCGCATTTTATCGCAGATGAGTAGCAGCAGCACTGAATGAGAGCCTTCCAGTTAGTTCACTTGCCACATCACTTCCATTTGTTTTATTAAAAAAGATATTGGAAAATTCATTATGGATCATTACAAATACTTTGCTTTAAAAGTACCAAGTCACTTTAAATAACAATAACACAGAGTCACTTAGTCACTTTAAAATGTTGATTGTCTCTACATTCTGTATATATCGTGTGTATATTTTGTGTATATTTAATATATTTCAGTTGGTTTTTCTTGTATTTTTATTTTTACTTATTTACTTTCTGTAGAGTGATTAGCTGAGCCTCACCACAAGCATTTCAATGCATAAATGTCCTGACATGTTGTGCAAGTGACAAACTTGAACTTGAAACTTGAGCTCACACAGTGAGAAAATATAAATGCTATATAGAAAAAAAGATGCATTGAGATGCATCGATAATCGTTTTATAATCGCAACGCAGCCCTCTGAATTGTAATCAAATCGAATCGTGAGGTGCCTAGAGATTCCCACCCCTAATATATAATATACACACACAGTATTATACACAATATAACCATAGTCAAGTTCACTGATCATTATTTCAGTAGCAACGGTAAACACGGTAAACAACAGAAGTTTGTTTCCGTTGCCCAAATTTTAGCAATTGTGCCATAGGGGACAGTCAGAGTCAGATTGAGAGTGGGAAATGGCAAAGACTTAAAACTAGGGAGGAAAAATTAGTTATAAAAAAAATGTAAAAATTCACAAAGGTTTTTACATAAACCACTGATACATTTGTTCTCATTTAACTATTTCCAAAATTGTTGACAAATTAGGTCATTTATTGTACATTTTGTGCATTTTGCAAATATACATTAGCGTCCTACACACTACAGTGAAGGAGCACAAACAAGTAAAATGCTGAAATATCCTCTCTCCCTCCTTCTTATTCTCTGTTACAGTTTGTGGCTCAGCCAAACTGTCAGCAGCTGTTGGCAACACTCTGGTACGATGGCTTTCCAGGATGGCGCCGTCGGCACTGGGCCGTCAAACTGGTCATGTGCATCATCATCGGCCTTCTCTTCCCTGTCTATTCAATTGTCTACCTGCTGGCTCCCAAAAGCTCATTGGGCCTCTTCATTAAGAAGCCCTTCATCAAATTCATTTGCCATACTGCCTCTTACCTCACCTTCCTCTTCCTCCTACTCCTCGCCTCCCAGCACATCGCACGCACCAACCTCCACATGCAAGGTCCACCGCCTACTGTAGTGGAGTGGATGATACTGCCCTGGGTGCTAGGTAAATGTGTGTGTGTGTGTGTGTGTGTGTGTGTGTGTGTTTGTGTGTATCCTGTCATGTTCAAGCATGCTATCGTTTTCCTTCAGTGTGGTAAGACCCCTCAAAGGAAGGCTGTGGGAAAACTCAAAAAATGTACTTTCTGTGAGCAAAACATATATAGCATACATTCATACATTCAGCTGCAACTTTGTCAGGTACTTCTTCAGTACTGTGCAAAAAAAGTCATCCCAAACACATTCAGTAATGATTACGTCTGGGCTCTGGGGTAGCCAGTCTGTTCTGAGCCCTCCAGTAGCTTCTTTGTTTGATTTGCAAAATGTCTTCTTTTTTGTCTATTTTCCTTTCTAAGTAATTACTTAATGACAGCTGACGTCCTTTCAGATAGCATAATGTTAAGTTTTCTTCTCACAGTGTAAGGATGGACAAAAACACCTGTGGATTTTTTTTGAGATCTGAAGCAGCTCTCTTAAAGATGAAAGCTTTAAGTATTGTTTATATAATGATTATAGTTTTGGTGTTCTACTGCATCTTGCACAGTGGTGAGTAGTTCCGTTTTCTCTCTATCTTAATAATATTTTAATATTATTACATATACTGTTTTTTCACATATTTTCCTTTTAATTTCACCTTCCTTATGCAAGTGGATTATACTTAAATATATCTCCTGCAGAATGAATAACTTGTACATAATGGCTATTTTGACTAAAAATTTAATAAATGAAGAATTTACTAACCCTAGCTCATCAATTGCTGCACAGTTTATCAGCCCCGCTCTACCCCATCCATTAGTAGAAAGAGGCCAACATAGGACCACAGCTGACCAGTTATTTCTTGGATGATGTACCAACACTGTAGTAGCATTGTGGTGTTACTTCTCATGGTGCAGGTGCATCAGACACACAGTTTACACTTACTGGCCTCTTTATTGGATACATCAACCTTGTTGGTACATCTTGTAGTTGTATTTTTCCATGCAAAATCTGTGTTACTCATACTGTACCTCTTCATCAGTGGTCAGTTTCAAGAACGTTGTTAAATGGATTATTTTAAGTCTGCACTATTCTCAACCTTACAGTGACATTGAGGTGCCTGGTACACTTGCATTAACACAACACTTACTGGTAATGTCACTCTGTGCTAAGAATTGTATACCACCCAAATAATATTTGGTCAGTGGTGGTCCTACGGTGGTCTCTTTTGAATTGATGGAGGTAAAGAGAGGCTGATAAATTGAACAGCAACAGATGAATTACAGTTAGTATCTCTAAACCTACAAATTGCACCTATATGGGGGGTATTTCTGAGAAAATGACCGCTGAGTGTAGCTACAAGGTTGGTGCACTTAATAAACAGGCAACTTTGTGAAAGTGTATAGCAAAATGCTTTTAAACTACTTCATTTGTTTAAGTTTCTCATCTAAATGTGGTGTGTATGTATTTGTGTTACGCTCACAGGGTTTATCTGGGCTGAAATTAAGGAGATGTGGGATGGAGGTTTCACCGAGTATGTACATGACTGGTGGAATCTAATGGACTTCGCTATGAACTCTCTTTACTTAGCTACCATCTCTCTAAAGATTGTCGCGTATGTCAAGGTAAGCAACAAACCAAACCATGTTCCAGTATATACTCAGTAGCACACACTCACACACACAAAGATTACATGACCATCTGCAGCTGTGTGAGTCACCATACATGACAAGTCTTTCAAACCCACACAAGTCTCTTGCGTACTGCAGCCTGTTTGGGTGACACACAAAAATACACTATGTTTAAGATAATCCACAAGATTATATAATATATTTGTATAAAATTTCAAATATACATTGAAATCAAATCTCCACTGAACAATTATTTCAAAAATCAACAATATTCTTATTTATTTCACTCAAGTTTCTTAAATAAAGACAAATTTAGATAACTTTACTGAAAGGCAGAATTTATAAGGCAACATGACACCTATATAAACCTTTTATGACAACTGACATAACTCTTCATGAACATTTTTAAAGGCTGATTCCAACAAGCATCAGTTGTCCTAACGCTGCTTTTGTCAATTTTAATGGTATTTCACCTCATTAAGTGTTGTTACAACTGGTGCTGGTTGGAATAAGCTTTTAGAAATGTCAGTAACACTTTACTGTAGGGTACCGGTCATAAGGCTTTATGACACCTACATAAGCTAATCATGATAAGTGACATAACCCTACATAAATGTCTATAAATGGTTATTCCGACAGGCCTTATTCACTATAAAGGTTTCATTTGCCAGTTTTCATCAAATTAGCTAAAGTAGTCTTTATGACAGATGGAATAAGCATTTATAGACATTTATGTAGGGTTATGTCAGTTGTTATGACAAGCTTGTGTAGGTCTCATGTAGCCTTATGAACAGAACCCTACAGTAAAGCGTTACCGAAATGTCTACATAGGTTTGTCAGTTGTCGTGTAGGCTTATATAGGTGTCATGTAGCTCTACAAATGCTGCCCTTCAGAAAAATGTTACCTAAATTCATCTTATGTAACTGACATAACCTAAAATGAAAAAGCATACTGTTTATCTTTGAAAAAAATGTTGTAAATAAGTTGAGATGAAAATTTATGAAGTTTGTATGTCACATCAGGATGCTCCATTTTTCAGTCATCATATGCAGCTAAGATGAATTAAAACAATAATCAGATCTGAAAATACAGACTGCTAAATTAATCATTAATCAATCACCACATTAAAACACTTTAGAAGAATTAGGAGAGAACTCACTTATGCCTAGCAATGAATAACTGCTTTGCTGCCTTCCTTTGTCCACTGAATCCTAAAAAAAGAAGAAACAGAGGCAAAGAAACAAGGAGAGAAACTGTGAATCCTCATCACTGTGAGCATGTGAATAATGGAGGCAAAATTGGCCACCACTGTGCCAAAGAAAGCATTCTGGCCAACATAAGATGTACAAAACTTGAATGTGTGGTGAGTGTAACAGCCATAGTCAGTGTCTGAGGAGTTGAGAACAGTGGTCTGCACAACATATTATACAACTTATTATATCAGCCTTGTCTTTTAACAGCCTTTACTGTATTGACTTGATCTAACATTGTATTTTCAGTGCTTATAAGCCCACATCATTTGCGTTTTTCATCATTTTATGTTTTATATGTTTATTCGTTTACGCATTCAGCTACTGTTTAAAGGAGAAATATTTTTCCGTCACTGAAAGACAACAGTGAAGAGTAAAAAAAATTACCCTTCGAATAATGTGTTTTATGCTGTTATTTTGCTCCTCTATAAAGAAAAGGTCATTTAATGGGTGTTAATTTTACATATTAAAGACCACTCTCGTTGGCTCTCTCAGTAGAGGGGGCAGGGTAGGGGGTGTGGCCATTGTATGGTGATGGAGAGTTCAACAATGGCTGCAGTGGAGCACAATATAGAGGACGTGTGTCAGGTTCCAGTCATTGCAAAACACTGCAGACTTCAGCACACTTTCCTTTTTTAAACACACCTGATTCAGCTTATCAGCTAATTAGCAAGGCCTTCATGAACTGAATTCAGAGCGTTTAGAGCATAAACCCTAATCTCAGCAGCACTATGTCCGGGAAGGTCCCCAGTTTGACATGCCTGGTATAGAGAGACCGCATGTGTCTGATTTGTTTACACTGAAAGCCAGACACAGTCACTGAATTATGAACATGTGCCAGCCAAACACGTCATTGCGCAATGTTTGATGCAGAAACCTTGTTGTTTGCTTTATAGGTACCTTTTCTTTACATTCATTCCACTGTCCAAAAGATCATCTACAAGTGGAAAAGATTTAAAATCACTGCCAACTTGTCCAGGCCAAGCTGCCCCAGCAAATTAAATCTGAAAGCAGACCATAAGAACTCTAAAAAGTCTTTAAGAATTTCATCACAGGATCTTCAGGTAGCTTTTGCCACTGTTGATGTGCATGCAGACTACACAAATGTGACCTCCTTGGGAGGGGCACCTTTGTTGTCTTAAAAAAAAAAGAGTGCCCCTCCCAAAGCAGGCCTAAAGTTTGCTTTAGTCTTTGCTGAATATCAAAGCAAGGACCAGCACAATGTACTATGGATAGATGAGTCAGAGATGTTGGCCACAGAACCAGAAGCCATGTTTGACGAAAACCAAAGACAGCATTTATTCACAAGAACCTCATACCAACTGTAAAGCATAGTAACGTGCATAGCATTTATCATACATACTGTTGAACTGTTGAATCCAATACTCATATGTCCAAAAAAAGCATTTCGCTGGTTGCAGTAACATGTTGAGTACAAGTTAGACAAACAAAAGTGAGTGATGGCACAAGTCATTTGTAAGAGATATGTCTGACTTAAAGTGCTAATGTCTATAATTTTACAGTGATTTCTGCATTTTTTCAACAGTATAACAGTTCTCGTCCACGTGAGGAATGGGAAATGTGGCATCCGACACTGATGGCAGAGGCCTTATTTGCCATCGCGAACATCTTCAGCTCCCTGCGGCTCATCTCTCTCTTCACCGCCAACTCTCACCTGGGCCCACTGCAGATATCTTTGGGTCGCATGCTGCTGGACATCCTCAAGTTCCTCTTCATTTACTGCCTGGTGCTGCTGGCCTTCGCCAACGGCCTCAACCAGCTCTACTTCTACTACGAGACGCAGGCTGCGGATGAGCCTAACCATTGCAAGGGGATCCGCTGTGAGAAACAGAACAACGCCTTCTCCACGTGAGTTTGTATATATATGTGCGTGACGGAATACTTCAGTGCTTTACAACATAATCTCTATTTGCTGCATCTGTGTCACACGGTCAGTTGCCAGTAATTTCCATGGTGTTTTTCAGGTCCATTCTGTATGCATACTTATGTTTGAAAACTCCTGGTCAAATAATGTTTTGTTTATTTTCTGTAACACCTTCTGTACTAGAAATATCATTTTTTCTGCACAGTTTATTGCATAGTTTCTATGTAAGTTTAACATATTGAAAAACAAATAAAATAAAAAATGTGCCATAACTTTTGCACAGGCCACATTTTGTTTTTTTTACCCAGTATTTTAATTTCAGCAAATAAACAGTAGTTGTCCATTGTCCGTTGTTTGTAGAAGTGTGTTCTCTATAGAGGATGTGTTAACTTATTTTTCACTTGGAAAAGCAAAAAACTGTAATATGACCAGGGTCTATTTAAACTAGCCATCATTTAAACTACAAACGCGAGGCACGTGTCCCTATCGCTTTTTGGAATTCCAAAATATCCCAAATGGCCAATTTTGTCCCTACCACTTTTTAAAAGTGTAGTTTGCTTACAATCTTTTTTTTTTATAATTGTTTGCTGCAGATACCCATTCAAAGACTTTCTAAAAACATCTATAAGGCTCTGCAGAAAAGTGTTTTTAGTCATTCCTCAGCAATACATTAACACATGATGCACTAGTGACTATGTAGTGTACTAACGGTAAATAAGAACGGTTCTGTTGTGAGTATACTGAGATAGTAAAAATAGAAAGTGGGTGCAGGCCTTCTGATATTTTATAAAGACAAATGTAAATAGCGTGATATGGGATAAGCTCTTACAGTGTATTCAGAGACAACATTACTAATTGTCTTATATATTGAGTTTGAGCTATGTACCCTTAGATAGCAAGCTATGTTTCAGGTTAACATTACACTGATGAAGCGTAAAGTATTAGGTGTAAAAAGCATATCATGAAAATGGAAACAGTTTACAAGCTAGCTCAGCTCATATGAAAATATATTAAATAAAACCCAAAGAGGCATGTACAGTAAATGTTATCCTTACAAAGCTTATATTCATATATTTTGCCACTTTGCAGTACAGTACATCTACAGATGTTTGCAAATATTTCATGTTTTACGCACATTTTAGTGCACAATTACTGTTTATTTGCTGAATTTAACATATTGGGAAAAAATAAAACAGAAAACGCCACCTGTGCAAAAGTTATAGCACATTTTATATAGTTATATTCAGCAAATAAATAGAAATCGTGCACTAAAATTTGCAGGAAAATTACACATTTAGGTATTTCCACTTAAATATGTGAATTTAACTGTGTCACTTTGTACATCAATAAAACAATTATGGACTGGGCCATTCAGACATTTTCATACAACTGAACGGATCTTCTCACTTTCTGGCTGTGGTTTGTAAGCTTATTTTAGCGCTATTTGGCTGCAGAGAGATAAAGGTATTCTGTATGTCCCATTCCAATGCACACTTATTTACCTTTGCCATTGAAAACTCCATAGTGGACACAAAACTTGTCAGACGAAGCAACTATAATCAAGCCGGGCAGTGCTTAACAAAGTGAAAAGCCTTTTGAATGTGGTGTATTTAGCTAAGTAATGAGAATAATGAAAAGTCACATACATTAAAGAGAAATATTTGTAGACTAAATCCAAGGAAGACATTTTGAATTGTAAAGCAGTGTAACAGTTCAGCTGGTAAATGTGTGCATGCGTTTTGGGTATGTGCATGTACACGTTGTAGCACTATTTCCGACTGCCACTACATTACGAGTATTTTTTTTGTTTTTGGCCTGGCCCTCATCCTTGTCCCCAGCACTTTTTTAAATTATGTCCATTCTTAAAACACACTTACAATACAAGCCATTGGGTAGGTGCTGAGGAAGTGGTGACTGACAGTCAGATACAGATGCAGCAGACAGAGATACAGCTGAAAAATAGTGTAGTATTCCTCTGAAGGCAGACTTTAAATTGCCTGTTTTCCATTTCTGACCTCCTCCTTGTTCCTATTTCCTCCTCTGCTGTTTCTGTTTCATCACCTTCCTTAGACGCGCACACACACACACACACACACACACACACACACACACACACACACACACCTCTTCCACTACACTACTCTAGACTTGTAGGTGAGTACTGGTGAATATTCATCAGGAGCTCCTGCTTATTAATGATGTCTTTAATGACACATCCATGTGCACACAAATGCCTGTTACTGTATGTTATATAAGATCAAACCATCTCATGAATATTAATGAACTGAGAAGAGACACTATGATTTAAGATGAACCAGAGGATTACATATTTTCTCATTAGTGTTGCAATAAGCACTGACTCTTGTAATATTGTCATATGAGTTGAATTGAATCTTCAGAGATTTGAATGCTGTTAAGAATAATGTTCTTTAGAATGATAATGTTAAAATCTGCTTTTTATCCATGCAGTAACCTGATAATTTTAAATGCTTCTTAAGTGAACCCAGCCTTTGCATTCAGCAAAATAACTAGCCATCTGATCTAAAGCCCTGTAATATATAGGTAGGCCTATGGCTAAAAAATGATGCCCAGTGGTCTTTCACACAACATACAGATGCATCTGCAAGCATACAACTGCATTCATAAAAATGTGAATAACTATTTCAAGGTATTTGCCACAACGTTCAGCAAAAATAGGAATATAACATGACAGCATATTGTATTGTATCATTAAATACAAGCCTCTCAATTAAATATCCAGAAGCATCGAACAGTACACTCAACAGACTGGAGCAAATAAAGTATTCATTTTAATACTAATTTTGACACTAAATTGCATGGCCTATAATAGAAATTAAACAAGTAAGCCCTCAATGAGGGCAGACTGTCCCTCCATCCCTCTTTTAAAAAAGCAAATGGGAAAAGCACGTCTAGCAATGAACTGAGAATGGATACATTAACCTAAAGGCAGATATGCAGGCACTCCTGATTTTTGCTGTATCAGAAAATGTATTGATTAAATGAAGACACCACTGCATCGTATCAAACCGAATTATGAATTTTGTGAATAGCTAACCTGGTAACCCTTTAAAATAGTTATTTACCTATGAGCTTGACATCTAGCATCTGACAGGAAGGAGGCTGTAGAATGTAGAAACTCCTTACTACTCACAACATGTCAAATGAATGTGGAGCAGAAAAATAGTTCTGGACAAGTTACAGGGTAATAAAGATTACATCTTTTTTATCAAGTCTTACTATAAGATGGAAATAATAGTACAAATGTTGGGGAATATTGCATCGCTTAATTAGCAATATATTAGAGTCATATTAGAAGCATGCTATTTAAAGTCTTCAAATCATAAAAAAAGGAAAATGGAAACAATGGAAAATACTGGAAAAAAATTGTTGGATGATTTAACGATAAATAACATTAAATGTTACAACCCTGAGTACAAATTTTCCTTGGCCATGGAAACAGTGAGTTAAGGGAGTTCTGAGAAAGTTATCTAGAATACCTAGAGCTGACTTTAGTCTCACCATACAATCAAGCTGCTCTGTATTAGCCTGCATAGCTTCCATGACTAAAAATACAGAAAATGTTTTTTCCAGCAATGCCATTAAGGCTTAGTTACCCACACAGGAATTAAGCCTAGTCCCAGACTACATAGCCTTCTGAATGGAAATTGTCCACTGAAAGCAAAGTGTAGCCCAGGACTAAGCTTAATCCTTGGAAACCGACCCTAAATGTTTATCTGGTGTAAATTGAATAGCCATTGTAAACCTCTGTCTTTATGTAACATTAGTTTGTCAATTCTTTCAGGCATGAGACATATCAGCTCTACCCATCATAAAACTGCCACATCAGAGAAAAATTATTGTATCTAGGCATTAATCTTTTCCATCTATATCTGTTTCTTAGGTTATTTGAGACTCTTCAGTCTCTGTTTTGGTCCATATTTGGCCTGCTGAATCTTTATGTCACCAATGTGAAGGCGAGGCATGAGTTCACAGAGTTTGTTGGAGCCACCATGTTTGGCACCTACAACGTTATTTCACTGGTAGTGCTCCTCAACATGCTTATTGCCATGATGAACAACTCATACCAGCTTATTGCCGTGAGTATTTGTAACCTCAAAATCTCTACGCTTGAATATGCATGTATTGTTTGCTCTGAAACAGAACTATAAATTCTTAATTTCAGCATTCAAGTACAGACAGCTCAGTTAGCAGGCACACATAATATTGGCAGCCAGTATATTAATTTGCAGGTATTTGGGAAGGTTATTATCAGTTGAGTATTGGAATTGCAGCCAATGGTTACAACCAATAATTTAGCTCCATATTTTAGCCTGTGAAGGCATTGACACAGCTATAGTGACAAGTGCTGGGCATTTCCATTTTGCATTTCCAGCTTACTAACACAGTGGATAACACCACCGCACATTGAAGATAGCAGGCTTGATTCCCTATCCAGATGAGAATGCTGCAATAAATTGGTATTAATTCCAGCAGTAACAAGGTTTTGTCAGATATCGTTATCAGCCCAAAAATTCCATAATGAGGTACCCATGCTCTTGAATATAAGCTTGTGGGCGTTTGTAAACACTTCTGATTCTGGTCATGTAGTTCAAAGTTTTATCTGACAATATGAACCGGTCTGTGTGTGTGTGCTGGTGTGCTTTAGGACCATGCAGACATTGAATGGAAGTTTGCCAGGACTAAGCTCTGGATGAGTTATTTTGATGAGGGTGGCACACTTCCACCGCCTTTCAACATCGTCCCCAGCCCAAAGTCAGCCTGGTACCTCTGCCTCTGGCTGCACAGATGGCTATGCAGGAGAGGCGACACTCCACATGATGAGAAACATGAGAATCTCAAGGACTTAACAGTAAGCTCATACATATATTAAACAAGTTCAGTTTCATTACAGGCCATTTTAGTGTAAAGTTTTGGTCTTCAGGTACTAAAGACGTGGCTTTTGTCTCCAGAATCTGCCATTCTTGTTATGTTATGAACCAGGTGGTGCTTAAGAATACAATGGTCCACGTTCTCATTGGCAGACTACAAGCAAATTTGAGAAATTAATATTCACATTAGAATACTCTGAGGTCCTTCAAATTATGTGGTTGGAGGTTTTGTGTGTACATTTTGCCTTACATGTGCTTTAGTGCTTTGGTTTTGTGGTACAATATGTTTATTTAATCATTATTTTTATTACATCAAAACCATAAGCAACCTAAATGGCTGGTGCTGGAGCCAGTCAGAGACCACCCTTTACTTAATTTCCTGTCAAAATGACCATGTTATCCAGGTTATTCATTTTCAGGAGCTATTTTAGAGATTAGATTTATAATATTCTTATGCAAGCTACACTTCCATAAGGAAGGAGAAAATCAAAGAAAAATAAGTGGGAAAAGATAGGTTAAGAAATTGCTAAAAGATATAGGGTGTATTGAGAACCGTGCAAGACCTGGTAGACCACCAAAACAGTCCACATCAAATAAACAGTGCTTAAAGCTTTCATCTTTTGGAAGTGAGAGACTCTTGCTTCAGATCTGAAAAAAAAAAATCTGTGTTTCTATCCATGCTTCTACTGTAACAACTCAACACCGTGGGTCTGAAAGGATATGTAGTTGTCAAGAAGCTGATACTGAGAAAAGAAATCAGACAAAAAGGAAAAACATTTGCAAATCAGTAAATGAAGCTGCTGGTGTTCGCAGAACAATGGACTTGGAGCCCAGAACTCAACATCATTGAATGTGTTTGGTTACTTGGATTGTGAGAAACAGAAAATGCAACCAACTTTTAAGACAACTTTAGAAGTGGAAAATATGGAAGAATATCCCTGCAAATTTCTTTGAAACTGAAAGCAAGCCTCTCAAAAAGAATGAAAGCGGTAGTAAAGGTAATGCATGAGCATCTTAATATGTAGCTGTTATATTAAGTTTGTTTTCTGCTTTTTTCCTGATGCTGAAGAATGAATAACTTGTACATAATGGCCAATTTGAATGTCTCTGACGACCATTCATTTACTTAAGAAAAAAATTGTAGAACTTTAGAGCCTAAAATTTAAAGGACTGTTTTTTTTGTTTCTTTTTTGTAGGATAACATGTCCAGGCAATACTGTGATCTGAAAATTGAGGTTGACCTGACCACTGCAGAAAGCGTAACACTAGATTACAAATGACCACTAAACCTTCAGCTGTCATTATGCTATATTAGTTTTATTTATAACAGTTTTGTTTTATAACATTCTCAAACATTCCATTGTTAAATAATAACTCACAGCATTTCATATCTTGTTATTTAAAGCAGTCCACACATTGAGATATTGAGGATAGATGCTCTATCCGCAGGACCGTGGTACATATCAGTATCAGCTGAGAGTTTTCTTTTTTCACTGCTTTCATCAGATAGAGGCTGAGATTGTTGGATAGCTGTTCTGCTTTTAGGTTTACATGTAGGCAGCTTTATATAACTCTAGAGATTTGATCTCAGCATTGTGCTGTCTGCATGTGTGTGGGTGTGTGTGTGTGTGTGTGTGTGTGTGTGTGTGAGAGAGAGAGAGAGAGAGAGGGGTGGGGGCACTGAGAAATGAGAAGGAGAGAGAAATGTGCTGGACTGCTGGAGTGATTCAGTGATGATAAAATAATGTTTTGTATCTATTATTTATAATTACTGGTCCTCAGTTAAGGCATAGAAGGGTCTGGTGGTTCATTTCATGATGGGACTAGATTATTAGATTATACATTTTAAATTGTGTATTTTGCAAGGCTTAAGGTGATTGCTTGCGAATCGCCCAGATACCAAGTGCCCAGACATTTCTGAGTGTTAAGGCACAAAGCTGTTAATACTTATAAATACATGCATCTTAAGATACTAGAACAAGTTATAGCAAGGCTAATAAAAGTTAAGGACCAATCCCATTTCTTATTTTTACCCTTATCCCTTGTTTTTGAGTGTCACCTTGCCCCTTAAAACTGAATTACAAAGAGTAGTGGTTGAAATCTTCCACTATGAAATCCCATTTCAAACCTCAAATGAAAAACAACATTGCTTCATTAACAGGCTACTAGCAGTGCTCTGTAGGCAGCCCTGCCAGTCTGCAGTGGTACCAGAGGTGCGGTAAAGATCAGCAACCTCGCTTCTGATCTTTAGTTAAATGTAGGGAATCATATGCCTTTAAAGAGGGGGGCTGCGACAATTCTTTATTATTGCCCACCCCTAATTCTTCAATGATGTGAAGCTGAAGTCAGCTATTAGCCAGCTTCTTGTTTGAATTTTCCCATTCACCTTAAACGGTGCAGCAGTTCCGATGCCTGAGGCCAGAATGTAACTGCTGCACCGTTTAAGGTGGAACGAGAAATTTAGGCTGCTAGCTACTGAGACATCAGCATACTACTAGTGATTTTTTTATGCTTGTTAAAAAGAAAAGGACCATAATACATTGAAATGACATTAAACTAAGATAATACAACGGTTATAGTATTTTGTTATTGGAGAAAATACTCACATTTGTTGGTTTCTTTGGTTGCTTTTGCAGCCATCTTGCCAGTTTCTCTTTTTTCTCTTAACACTCCGTTTGGAGTGTGCCTCTGAAAAACCTCAGTTTGGAGGGTCATGTAGCCCTAACACTTCACCCTACCCCTGTATCGCAACAAAAATCGGGACACCCTACTCCTGAACATGCAAAACAGAGGGTTAAGGGCTAATTAGTAATTAGTAATAGTTTGACTGTCAAAGATCTGTACACTCTTAAAAATAAAGGTGCCAGAAAGGGTTCTTTAGAGCAATGCCATAATGGTTCTCAGCCCTGCCCTTGGAGGTCACTTTCTCTACTAATTTGTGTTATCCCTGCTTTAATGCACCTATTTCGACTAAACAGCTAATTATTTTAGGGATTTTAACTAAATAAGCAAGGATGTTCCCTGAAGTGTGCAGGGCAGGGGGTGGAAAACACTGCCCTAGAAGAAGAATCACTTTTGCTTCCTTAAAGGACCTTTCAGTGGATGCATGAAGCATGCCCTAAGTTATGCAGATTGTTCAGTAGCAGGCCAATAAAATGACAGCATTCAGCAGCTTGTAAGCCAGTGGCTGTGCTCATAGGCATTTGAGTTTAAGCTGCGAGTGCACTGCTCCCTCTTTTGATCCAACTTTATACTGTTTTAGGTACGATGGAAAGAGAATATACTGGAAAGAAAAAAATGTGAAATAAACAAAAGGTCTTCTTTTTTTTTAAGACGAGAGAATGCTGAGATGATGTGTGATTATTTTCTTAAAATAACAGATTTAAACAGTGTATTACTGTAGTGTATGAGATGGCTTTTGCATTTGCCTAGTTCATCAATGGTCAGGACCCCACAGGATCATTACAGAGCAGGTATTATTTGGGTGGTGAACCATTTTCAGCACTGCAGTGACACTGATACTGTTTTTAAAACCTATGTACACTTACTGTCCACTCTATTAGACACTCCTACCTTGTAGATAGAGGTAGAGACAATAGTTCATCGCTGGCTACACAGTTTGTGTAAGCATTTACCTCCAGTGATGCTGTGCAGGCAGCAATTCAGAAAGATTCTCATTTCATACTCTCCAGAGACTGATGTAGAAGTTGTCTGGACAAGCCCACCACAAGCCCAGCATTGACGTGTGAACCCACAGTAATTTCCCTGAGGAACTGAGTTGAGATTTGTTGTGTATACAAGGAGTGAAGGAAAAGGTTTGAATCATTGTTAACACAACTGCGTCTTAGTTTCAGGTCCACCTCATAAGCATGTCCCATGTCACTGGCCTTGGACTTAGACTGAGATAAATGAAGTTAGATAGCTAATCATCAAGGGTTAGTGCAAAGCATCCATTAAGAAGTCAAATTTAAAATAAAATGTTGGAAATAAACAAATTAGAAATCAAGGTGTAGAAGTGACCTAGAACTATGGATATTATCTTTTACTGTTGATTGAAACTGGGAGAAAATGAAAAATAATTATTTCCCTGAACGTGAAATAACCTTGCCCTAGCAAGTTAAGCATTTTGTGTTTTGTGTGAATTAAATTCTGTGCTTTTCTTTTCAGGAAAAGCATGCTGACAGGATTATTCAGAATAAACACTATCAGGTATGTAGGAAAGAGGTCTAAAAACACAAACTACAAATGTGTACAAGCACACACACACACACACACACACACACACACACACATTTAGAGGCAGGAGAAATCAATTTAACACTGCTGTCCTCAATTTGATTTGCAAACCAAAAGGTCCAGCTCATTAAGAATAGGAAAATGCTTGATCTTCTCTTGCCCTTATCTCTTCTCTTTCTTAGGAGGTGATTCGTAATCTAGTGAAGAGGTATGTAGCAGCTATGATCCGCAGTGCAAAGACAAATGAGGGCTTGACGGAGGAGAACTTTAAGGTAAACTTCATTTATATATTTATTCACAAATTATAAAATGCATTCAGTTGAATACCTCAAGAGTTCAACACTGGTGACTTTACAATATAGTTTCCTAATTGATTCCTGGCAGTGGAGAAACATACCTGAATAAACTCATCAGAAATTCTGAAATCCCACCACATTTACTTCACAGTTAAACTACTTTCAACCACTTGAAAGTCAGGATTAGACATTGTCACTCTTGTACTCACACTCGTTGGGTCAGCGGTTATCCTAGGGTGGTATCTTTCCTTTGATGGATGTAGTAGAAAGGTTCAGTTGTGTGACAATCTATGGGCAACAGTCAGTAACTTAAAGCTATAAATAGCAGCTGATAATATAGCCAAGGAGTGTAACGAAAAAGTACAGTACCCTGCAAAAGGTGGAGACCTCCCTTTCATTTATTTATTTTCAGTCAAAACAGCCTTTAAATACAAGTTATTCATTTTCATGGAAAACATCACGCAGAAATTACCCAGAAGCCTCAACTACTAAACATAATATAATTTCTTTTCAGTATTTAGTGTATCCACTCTTTGCCTTTATTGGAGTTGCCATTCTTTTCAGGAGACTTGCTTTGAGTTTGTCAAAGAAATCTGCAGGTATATTTTCAACACGTCTTAGAAGTTGTTTGCATCTTCTGCTTACCTAGTAATCTCCACAAACTTTATGTAAAACATGGACTATCTTTTAGAGGCTTCACAAGTTTGTGTTTAAACTAGAACCTCCAGAAAATGTTACTGCAAATCGCCAATAGCTTAGCACTAACAAACTATAGGGATACTAGCAGAAATTATCTTAGAGGGTTTTTTCCCTTTTTTTGACCATTTTGACATTTATGGCTCAAATTAAAGGCCTAGCTCAGTAGTCATAGTTTGCCACTGATTTTTTCCAATCTGTAATTGTGGAGATCTCCCAAAAATATAAGCTTTAAGTACTTCTCAGAACTCAGAAGTATCTCCTTTACTCATTTTAGGTGCATGTAAGAAAGAAATTTGCAATCCCCTTGTCACTCTCAACCAAGAAAGTTACTGAAGTCCGAGTACAATACACTAAGAGTAGAAGAGTTTGCAAAGAGTTTGTAAACCCAAACAGGAAAGACAAAAACAATCCTTTTGAAGTTATATTGAATCAAAAAAGTCAGCGATTCACAATACCGGGACAGACACATGCACATATACATATACTTTTAAAGGGCCTATGCAGCCCTTTTAGTTTAGTTTCGATTTGGTCCCCTGTATAACAAATGGCTAATACAGAATTCGAAAAAAAAAACCTTTCATTTAATACTGTTAACACACCCAAAGAAAGTTTAACCTTGCAAGGCTTTTCATTTAAACCATTTTCTTATGATATGTGCAACAAAATTAAGAAGAAGTTCAGGTGTGTTCTGGTAACTGCTTGTGTGAATGTTAGTGTCTCTTTGAAGGGGAGCATAATGTCAGTGACACCTTTAGGAACTTTTTGTTGGGAAGACAGCTGTAATTCATTGTTTTTAAGACTGAAAGGATGGAACAGAGGCAGAAGACAAAAAAAAAAACAAGTAGGTAAGTTAAATACAGATGGAGTTGACATATTTAACAGGAAAACTGTTTTCTGCTTTTTTCTGTCACTGAAAACAAAAAACTCATACTCAACTCCTGTTTTCACTGGAAACTGAATAAAAGAAAGGCTGACTTTTGCATAGTACTGTAGGTGTACCTAATAAACTGTAAACTCTGTAAACTGTATTTATTGAAACTTGTGTAGAGTGCTGAATGAACTAATTGTCATCCTACTTAGGAGCTGAAGCAGGACATCTCTAGTTTTCGGTATGAAGTCATGGACCTTCTTGGGAACCGAAAGCCACCACGACGTACTTACTCTTCAAGTAGTGAGGCTACACTTCGCGATGAGGCCTGCGATGATGGCGATGCCCCAAATAACCGCTGCCGTGGTGACAGTGATAGCAGCAGAGGCAAAGCTTTTAAAGCAGCTTCATCTGCAGGCTCCCCATATGGAGTCTCTGCTCTCTTTCACTCCCTTTCTGCAATGGAGTTTCCCACATCAGCGACAGCAATAAGTACATACAACAGGGAGGACAGACCAAAGATCAATGGGCTGAGGAAAAACCCCTCACCCTGCTCTTCCACTTCCTCAGTGACTGCGGCTGGGCCTGCAGTCTCGAGAACGTGGAGCAGGTTTACACGCTTTTCTGGTTCTAAGAAGAACTCCTTCAGACGTCTGGGGCTGTTGTTCTCCCGCATGGGCAGTCACCTTCCCCAGCCTGCTGGTGTTAGTTCTGCCACATACACTATCTCAGATGGACTGCTCCACCCACCAGGAGCCTGGAGTGACCTGGGCATCTCTCGTGGCGATGGTCCGGTCACCCGCAACGAGAGCAACCTCAATCATGCAGATACACCCACCACCACCACCGACTGTGGCAGCGCTCCTAGGATAACAAACAGACAGAGAACCAACGGGAGAGACATTCTGTTGACTTTAGGGCCCCTGGCTGCGCCCCCTTCCCTGCACTGTGCTTCCAGTTTCTCTGCCTCCAGTTCTCACCTCCTGGACTCGAATGAGGATGTGTTTCAGGGATTAGTCGGGCCTTGTGATGGACACACGCCAGACCCAGCCCACCGTGAGGTGGAGCAAGATGACTCAGTGACCACACAGCTATAGTATTGCAAGCATGCACTGTGGTGACAGCACTTTAACTACAACAATAATATTTGATGATACCAATAACAGTGACATTTCTATTAATGACAAACACTTTTTTATTTGAACTGATGGAAATATTTTTTCATTTTCAGTAAGATTTGAGCCAAAACAAAAGCAGGTTATACACAAAGACATTTTGAATACTTGTGGCTTGTTGACAAGTGAATACATTTTTAGTAATCTGCATTATTCTTATATCAAGTATTAATAGCTTGCTGATTTTAAAGATTAAACAGTTTAAGATAACAGAGGGGACTAAGAGTGTTATAGCCAGCAGACTTTAAACTGTTAACAATAACTGTATGAGCAACCCCTGTCCTATCACAGCACTTCTTGCAAGTAATAAAGCACTGAATGTTACTTTAATAAATGTTTAGTATTTTACACGCACACACACACACCAAAACACATGCTTATGTTTAAGTTTCCCTCATAAACACCAGAAAATCTACGTTCAGTCACACTACAAACATAATATGCCTTTTGCAGGATGACTGTAAGTTGACTGGTTGATTTCTTACAGATAAAACGAATGAAAGTAATGCATGCTGGTCAGCATGGCAGTTTCTAAACCTTTCAGTGGCCGGTGATTACCACACTCACTGATCATAGCTGTTATTATCACTCTCTTGTTTAAAAGATATTTTTTTACTACTGTGTAGTTACAGTGTTCACCAGAATACATTGTTTTCAGAGATTAATTGGTGTTTGGATGATCTGGAAACTATTAGATTTAGAAATCTGCTCAATTTCATTCTAACTTAATGTTTGGGGGTCTTTACAAATCACTTATATGTGATCATAGCATACTATTCAGCATACTATTTCTTCTTCAGAAAAGAAAAGAAGGATTTATCTTATCCAGCCAATATACGCCAGTGCACATCAGTGGTTAAGAAGCGGTAAAGGTAAGCCACCATCGTATCTTCACAGCTGTTACCAATATTCAGATATAAAAACAGTCAGAGTATTTATTTAAATACAACACAATACTTAGGAAATATGCTGGTAAAGCTGCTTTGAGAAGTTCTGTTATACAATCACTATAAATAAAAGTGAACCAAATTGAAATATAGCTGAAGAAATAATACTAATATTTTTTAAAGGTTTAAAGGGTTTTCTGTGGCGAACAACACTAAATTCTTAAAAGAAAAACATTTACCATATAAAAATCATTTTAGGTCTAGTGTTAGTGTCTTTTTTTCTTTGCTTCACCAGTGAATGTGAACAAAGGGAGACCCCCAAAATCATGCCACATAAAGCCCTTAGATCTGGTTACAGCAGCTAGCACCATCTAACTACAGCTAGCTGAGCCTTAGCATTTGCATACTAGCATGCACCATTGATACAAAAAAATGAAAAACAAATTCTGACCCATTTTTGGAGGGACTGGGTAAAGGTATGAAAATAGCAGACAGGCAAGATTGGCTGTTAACAGTCGCCCATTTCTCAACCTTTCTATCACCACAAGAAGGAAAACTAACCAATGCAAATTGACAAATGCAGCAGCTCAGATAATTTTATCCTTTTTTATTATATACATTGTAGGCATTCTCTATGACTCGCCTGTCTAACTCAGTTATCTTGCCTTTCATTCCACTGCTGTTTTTACCACCAGCTTGCACTTATTCCACTATTGTTTTTTATCACTTCCCCTTGTGAAAATCCCCTAAGGGTCATTCTATTACTGTATCAGAATCACTTTATTTTGCCAAGTATGTTACACGGAATACAAGGAATTTGTCTTGGTGAGTGCAGACACGTATGACATGGAACATACTGAGCAGACAAACAAACAGCCTATTAACAAATATTTAACTAAGGGACAAATAAAATAAAACTACAATAAACAGAAAAGAATAACAAAGAATAATAAAGAGCCAATATGAAAGGAGCTAAAGAGATGTGCAAATATCTGTACATCTATGCTGGTCTGAATAGACATATAAGAACTATTATACAAAATATTACAGAATGATTAGAACATTTGTAAAAATGAACATTCGTGCAGCTGTGCAAATAGGCATTATGTTACAGAGAAGTTTTACAATAGTAAAACAATAAGGGAGGCTGTTGGGTCCAGTTCAAATTTAAAGTGTGAGGTGTCCACTGTGTTTAATACGCACTACAGCTGTGGGGAAAAAAAAGCTCTCAGCATGTCTGGTTGTGCTGGATTTGATGGGCCTGAATTTTCTACCAGTGGGCAGTGACTGGAAGGAGTGATGTCCAGGATGAAGGAGTATTAGCCTAATGCATCAACATAATGTAGACTTCAACAGCAGAACCTGCCCTGAAATCATCTGATGCAACTTCAGATTGCCACAGAAATGAAATACTTTTAAATAAATGTATGAAACTATAATGATTTGCAACATTCAAACTGGGATTTATGTGACAAACTACCTAATATGTTCTACATCACTGTTGAAGTAACTGTTACTTGCTAAGCAACGTTTGCTTAGCTAGTTTTGCAAATGGCCACTTGTGTAGTCATTTGGGAGTAGAACATCTTTGTGAAGCTGCACTCAGGTTCTCATTATAGCATCATTCCGTTAATGACATTTGCTTAGTCCTACCACTTCAGCCCCGTAAAATTCCTAGACACTCAATCAGTGGCAAAAATTCAGTAGACAGGTGGCTGTGCTCATAATGGCAGTCTAAGGTAGACAGACCAATTTAGCTACAGAACTTCTTTAGTCATTGCTTTGAAGTGCTCTTTATTGCCTAAATGTCAACAACAAAGCAATTTTTCAAAATCACTTTGTCTACATTGAGGGTAATTTGAACCAATTAAGATCATTCTTGGTATACAAATGGTTTGGCTGGATAAAAACAACAGTTTTAACTAAATAAGAAATACTAACATATAAAAATGCTTGGGTTCCTGGACATTTTGTGTCCTTTTTCTTGAACAGGCAACCAAAAACATGGACAATCCAGGGACATTCTGTACAGGCGACAACCCAACAACCTTCTCTTAATTTGAAATTGACATCTCATGAGGTTGTGTGATGCACTTTATACAACACAGCAACCACACTGTCCCTAAAGGTGGACCAAATGATGGACACATTCTTTCAGGTGCTTGGCTATCAGCAGTGTGTTTGTGCCAGTTATGCTGCTAGCAAACCAAAATATGTTCTCTAGGTCCTGAAGCAGGAGCCATCCTTAGGCCTATCCCAAGCTGATCCAAGAGTCTGTTCAGCCATTACCTATAGGTCAGTAAGTGTCCAGAGTCTTGTGAGACTTCAAAATAAGTTCAAAATACTGTGGAACTAATGTGGAAATACCAAACCAAGAATTTGTATTAAATAAATTATATTAAGAATATCCTCACATGCAATTTTAATCATGGGTAAGAATTGATAAATTTCTAATCTGGAAAAATTACAGTTTTCACTACAGTTTACACTACTTAAATAATGATACTAACACACAAACACACACACACACACGCAAACAGCTTATCCTCCTGGGTCGTGGGGGTGCTAAACCCTATCCCAGCAATCACTGGGTGGAAGGCAGGCTGGACAGGCTGGACAGGCTGGTACTAACATACCAAGTGATATCAGAGTAGAACTTGGTGATCCCTATATTCTACCATTTATTAATAAAACAATAGAATCTAAAACTGAAAAATCAATTACACATGGTACGGAAATAAATCACAAGCCATAGTGACGACATGGTTTCCAAATGTTCAATGTTTGCCAGATTAGAGGATTTCTGCTATGCTGGGAGCAAGGTGAGCAAGCGAGTGCCATTAAGAGGAGGGTTTACAATAAATTTTATTTATAATCAGTTAATCAGCAGGCTGTACAAATTGCATAATACTAGCATAATTTGCTAAGTGTTGTCATGAGTGCATTAAACAAATATTTACCAAATTATGGTAGTACTGTCAGATTTTTTTCTAGCCTATACATTTTTGATCCAGCACTTCATAAAGGGCAGCCCTTTTATACCAAGTCCAGAGGCTTTACTAAAAAAAACCCCAAGAAGACATTGTTTATAAGCAGATGACTGTTTTCTCTGATAATGTTACTTCAATCATTTTAACTTCAAACCTTACGAAATTTGGTGAGTGAGTACTTATTACTGATATGTTCTAGCAGCAGGAGTACTTAACTGTTTTGCCCAATCTGAACAAAGCAAGTGATAAAAGATGCTGCAGTGTATCCCTTTAGCATAATACAGCTAATAACCAAGCAACCATGTGTTTGACCTTTCAGCAGAAGTTACTGACTGCCCTCTGCTGGACAAATATGTCAATAGCATTTAGGTTAAAAAAAGTACATGGGGGATATGTAAAACAGAGTATCAGTACATGCAACACAATGACATAGTACATTCTCTACTGCATTTTCACATTTGAAATGCTTTTTCCCAGTTTATTAATCAATATCTATATCTAAAAATTTATTAATAATCTCACTGTATGTGCCAGTAATGAAGAAGTTATTTGCCTTTCATCTGCAAATGTTCATCTGCTTAAATTTCTTATTATTAATCAAGAATATATTCATTTTAATATCACTTTGTGTATTTAATATTGTATTTTATATTGTTTATTAGGTTGAATTGATATTCTGCAGTTGAAGTTTATAATATTCAGAACAAACAATAACAGTGACATTTCTCTGATTTTCATCGACCATGTTATTTACCCAGGGATACATAATACAACAAAATGTAAAATGGTCTCATTTCTCTAACCTAAAACATGACTACATGTGTGCATGGATTATTCTGAATAACATATAATGATTAATTATTTGGCAAGTTGAGGCAACATCTGGAGTAATTGATATTCTACATTTTTTACTTATTGCATCATGAGTTGGGATTATTAACATGCATTACACATAAATTACAAGAATTCATTACTAAGAGTCCAAGTTATATAAACCTTGGTTGGGGGGAATGCGAAAGGAAACAATGTATGAGTTTTGGGCAGCTTCTGCTTTGCACTAAAAAGCCAGATATGGAAAAGTGGTGGGGTATGAAAACGTTGTCACAGGAAGCAGAATGCTGGAAATGTATAGGAAGTTAGATAGGAAAGAGGTGGAGTTTCAGACAGGGTCTTTCTCCCAAACTGCAGTCTTTTCACGACTGCAATGATACCCTCTGATCAAGTGTGTTTTCTACTTGTTATCTGCCCAAACACCACCGACTTCAAATATATTCAGTGTGGATATTTTCTGTACTGAAGCGCCCTTGGTCAACTGTGTCTCCAGTGGTCGGCAACTTTCACTTTCAGAAATAAAGGCTCCTAAAAGGATCTTGGCTTGGATATATGGTTCTAAGACAAAAAACTTTGTTATGTCGATGTTTTAAACTTAAGATTAAGATTGTTCGAATTCACT